AGATAGATAGATAAGTAGATAGATAGATAGATAGATAGATAGATAGATTAGTAGATAGATAGATAGATAGATAAGTAGATAGATAGATAGATAGATAGATAGATAGATTAGTAGATAGATAGATAGATAGATAGATAGATAGATAGATAGATAGATAGATAGATAGATAAGTAGATAGATAGATAGATAGATAAGTAGATAGATAGACAGGCAGATAATGAAGTGGCGAGCGATGATATATATACAGGTAGGCAGCGAGACGGACAGACAAACAAACAGACAGTGAGAGATGCATCACGCCTGGTCATCACACACTATATTAGGAGATGTGAGGGGAGCCGCGCGAGGCGCTGCAGACGACAATATATAACAGCGCTGGCAGACGACGATGACGCAGGCGAGCGATTATAACCGCCGCCTCCGACAATACGCGCGAGGATGCGCAGACGATCGGCCACCGCTTTACGCCGCGCCGCGATTACAGCGCTAGCACAATTGCGGTGAAACGCCCCCGCGCACGCACGCACTCACCCCCGCGCACGCACGCACTCACCCCCGCGCACGCACACACTCACCCACTTACCGCCACCACCCCCGCGCACGCACGCACTCACACACGCCCGTCACCACTCCCGCGCACGCACGCACTCACCCACGCCCGCCACCACCGCGCACGCACGCACTCACCCACTCACCGCGCACGCACGCACTCACCCACTCACCGCCGCCATCCCCGCGCACGCACGCACTGACACACGCCCGTCACCACTCCCGCGCACGCACGCACTCACCCACGCACCGCCACCACCGCGCACGCACGCACGCACCCGCTCACCGCCGCGGCACATTATAGTGTTTCCTGTGCACGCGCATGCATGCACGCACGCAGACAAGAATTCACGCACGCACGTACACAGAAACACGCGATAACACCTTTCCAAGCCACATTCTAACGTATAGCAAACATGTATTTTCTTTTTTCCTCTTTTTTTCCTATATAATTCTTTGCTCATCGCCAATGTCTCGTCGCCTTTGTGTTGTTTACAGAGCAATGGTGGGCTAATATCAAATAATTACCTTTCTCAACATGACAACCTAACCTTGTAAGAAAACGAAAATTAATAATGTAGTTTAAGCAGAGGTAAAAAAAAATGGAAGCAGGGCTATAACAAATTAAAGTGGGTACGGAGAAAGGGCAGTGTGGGTAAAATAGGGAATAATTTATATTATGGGATAGATACGGAAAGGCAGTAGATGAGCATGGGGATGCGATAATAGCAGGTAATACAAGGTATTGACGTCCGTGATGACAGGTAACAAGGTATAGGTAAGCACAAGGCCAGGTAACACACACTATACCCACGCATAAGCGCGGGAAAATTGCACGCAAGAATTATTACGGAAACATCCGTCCTAATCGCTCGACTAAACTGGCGCTGTGCGCGCACACAAAGAAACGTTAACGGCAAACACAACTTCCCTTCTTTCGCTGTGCTTTCGTTCGCTAATGCACCCGCTGCGACGTCAGTCAAGGATCTTGTAACCGTTGATCAGTATTAATCCACTCCCACCTTTACATGCTCGACAATCAATTTCTATCAGAAGCGTATATCCTTCCTCGGTAGGTTTCGGCAGCGCGATAAGTCACAAATTAGGACACTTCAGAGTCTATTTATCCCAGATTTCCTTTCGTTACGGCTTTGGGTTTGCACCCAAACCGACCAGGCTCTCCGACTGTTACACGCCTCTCGCCACGTAGTGTTAAGCAAAGTGTT